ATCAGTTGGCCAGATAGTTGTCTTCCAACTTTCTTGGCAGAGATGAGTGAGTGCCTCCAATAAAAGGAAGTAAAAGAAGTTTGTACTTCTGTCTCAGCAGTGGGTGTGCTGATAACAGATCTGTTTACTGAATGGTTTTCAATGGTCCAGCGCCGGGTTGTGCAGGTCCTCTGGAATCTAGAGCTGCCGTCACAGAAACAGCACAGTGGTGGTGTTAAGAGACAGAAATCTATTATCTCATAGTTCTGAAGTGAAAGTCCACATCAGCATCATCTCTTTGTTGATTCTTGTTGGTAGATGGTTCTTAATATGGTTTCATCAGCTCTTTTTATAAAACACCACTCACTCTTAGTACCAAAATGCCTTTGTTGCTGTTCTCTTGAGAAACAGAAACAATAGCTGTCTGTCTATCCATCCACCACTTGTCTGTCAGTTTGTCAAACTGTGGTGGTTCGTGTGTTGCTGTGATTCTGGAAGCTATGGCATTGGCGTTTTAAATACCAGCAGGATCACCCACAGTGGACAGGTTTCAGATGAGCTTCCAGATGAAGACAGACTAGGAAGAAGGAGAGATGGACTACATCCAAATATTTAGTCACTGAAAACTTTATGACAATGGAACACTGTCAGCATCAGAATACTGAATATTGACACATGATGGAGAACACCAGAATATTATCAGATATAGTGCCGGAAGGTGAGCCCCTCAGGTTGGAAGGCACTCAAAATACGACCGGGGAAGAGCTGCCTCCTCAAAGTAGAGTTGACTGTGATGACGCAAATGGAGTAAAGCCCTCAGGACCTTCGTTTGCTGATGGGGCACAACTCAAAATGAGGAGAAACAGCTGTAAACATCCATTAATAATCAGAACATGGCATGTATGAAGTGTGACTCTAGGAAAACTGGAAATTGTTAAAAATGAAATGGAACGTTATGAACATCGATGTCCGAGGCATTAGTGAGCCAAAATGGACTGGCGCTGGTCATCTTGAATCTGACCATCAAATGGTCATCAAATGGTCATCAAATGTGTATAGAAGACTATACACATGGACCTCACCAGATGGAACACACAGAAATCAAACTGACTACATCTGTGGAAAGAGATGGTGGAAAAGCTCTGTATCATGCTGGGAATGACAAATTGAAGAGGAATGGTGTTGCATTCATCATCAAAATGAACATATCAAAATCAGTCACGAAGTACAACACTGTGCTACAATAATATTCATGTGCCTACAGGGAAGCCCAGTTAATATCACTACTATTCAAATTTAAGCACCAACCACCAAAGCCAGTGATGATGAAACTGAAGAATTCTACCAACTTCTTCCATCTGAAATTGATCAAACATACAATCAAGATGCATTGACAATTACTAGCAATTGGAATGCAAAGGTTGGAAACAAAGAGGAAGGATCAGTGGTTAAAAATATGGCCTTGGTGAGAGAAACGATGCTGGAGATTGCATGAAACAATTTTGAAAGACCAATGACTTGTTCATTGCAAATACCTTTTTTAAACAACATAAAAGAAGACTATACACATGGACCTCACCAGATGGAACACACAGAAATCAAACTGACTACATCTGTGGAAAGAGATGGTGGAAAAGCTCTATATCATCAGCCAAAACAAGGCCAGGGGAAGATTGGGGAACAGCCCATCAATTGGTCATCTGCAAATTCAGGTTGAAACTGAAGAAAATGAGAAGAAGTCCACAAAACCCAAAATATAGCCGGTAATATGTTGTTGTTAAGTGCTGCCGAGTCCTTTCTGACCCATAGCATCCCTGTATTGGGTTTCCAAGCAGCAGCTGGTGGGCTTGAACCACTGACCTTGTGATTCAAACGGCTTTGCAGTCCAGCACATTAGGCCATAGCGCCATACCAGGACTCCAGCCTTGAATACATCCCACCTGAATTTAGAGATCATCTGAAGACGAGATCTGATACACTAGACACTAAACACCCAAGACCAGAAGAGTTGTGGGATGACAACAAAAACATCCTACAGGAACAAAGCAAAAGGTCATTAAGAAGACAAGAAAGAGGGAAAAGACCAAAGTGGATGTCAGAAAAGACTCTGAAACTTGCTCTCCAGCGGAGAGATGCTAAAGCAAATGGAAGAAGGGAGGAGCTACAAGAGCTGAACATAAAATTTCAATGGTCAGATCGGGAAGACAAAATCAAATATTGTAATGAAATGAGCAAATATCTGGAGTTAGAAAAACAAAAGAGAAGAACATGCAGCATTTCTCAAGCTGAGGGAACTGAAGAAAAAATTCAAGCCTTGACTTGTGTTACTGAAGGATTCTCTGGGCAAATTATTGAATGATGCAGAAAGCATCAAAGGAAGATGGAAGGAATACACAGGGTCACTGTACCAAAAATAAATGGTTGATGTTCAACCATTTCAAGAGGTAGCATATGATCAAGAGCTAATGATCCTGAAGGAAGAAGTCTAAGGTGCATTGAAGTCAGCAGCAAAGAACAAGGCACCAGGAATTGATGGAATACAAATTGAAATCTTCCAACAAAGTGAGGCGTGGCACAGGAGGCACCCACTCATCTATGCCAAGAGATTTGGAAGACAACTACCTGGCCAACGGACTGGGAGAGATCTGTCTGTATTTGTGTCCATTCCAAAGACAGGTGACCAACAGAATGTGGAAATCATCAGATTATATCACTGATATCCCATGGAGTAGAGTTTTACTAAGATAATGAAAAAATGGCTGCAACCATACATTGACAGAGAACTTCCTGAGGTTCAAGGCGGTTTTAGAGGAGGATAGTACCAGAGAGATGTTTACCTCTGCTTTGTTGACTATGCAAAGGCTTTCAATTGTGTGAATTATGACCAATTATGGACACCATTGCGGAGAATGAGTATTCTGGAACACTTAATTGTGCTCATGAGGAACCTGTACATAGATCAAAAGGCAGTTGTTCGAACAGAACAAGGGAACACTGAACAGTTTAAAGATGTGGCCAGCGTTGCCTTCTTTCATCGTACTTATTCAGTCTGTATGCTGAGTACATGATCTGAGAAACTGGATTATATGAAGAAAAACGTGACATCAGGATTGGAGGAAGACTCATTAATAACCTGCGATATGCAGATGATACAACCTTACTTGCTGAAAACAAAGGGGACTTAAACTACTTACTGATGAAGATCAAAGACCACAGCCTTGGGTAGGGGTTGCATCTCAATGTAAATAAGACAAAAATCTTCACCACTGGACCAATAAACAACATAAATGGAGAAAAGATGAAGTTGTCAAAGACTTCATTTTGCTCATGGAAGCAAACAACAAGAAGTTAAATGACGTATTGCATTGGGCAAATCTGCTGCACAAGACCTCTTTAACGTGTTCAAGAGTAAAGATGCCAGTTTGAGGATTAAGGTGCACCTGACCTAAGCCATGGTATTTTCAATAACCTCATATGCATGTGAAAGTTAGACAGTGAATAAGGAAGACAAGAAAATTTGATGCAGTTGAGTTATGGTGTTAGAGGAGAATACTGAAAGTGCCAAGGACTGCCAAAAGAACCAACAGATCTGTGTTGGAAGAAGTGCAGCTAGAGCGCCCCCTGGAGGCCAGGATGGTCAGACCTCACTCGTCTCTCATAATTTGGCCATAGTGTCAGGAGGGACCAGTCCCTGGAGAAGTAGTATGTAGTCTTACCATTTTTCCATTGCTTGTTTTAGTGGAAAATATTTGGTTTCCCTTCTCCGAGTTTTCCTGGTTTTTGCAGATTTGACTGTAAAAACCACCTTTACTGTTACTTTTCAACGGAGCTCTGGTAGCGTAGTGGTTACGAATCGGGCTGCGAACGGCAAGGTCAGCAGTTCGAAACTACCAGCTGCTCTGCAGGAGAAAGATGAGGCTTTCTGCTCCCGTAAAGATTTACAGTCTTGGAAACCCTGTTCAGGGTTGCTATGGGTCGGAACCGACTCGACTCGATGGCATTTAACAACAATAACAACTGTTACTTTTGAGGTCTTGGGTAGCACAGTGGGTTAAGTGTTGGGCTGCTAACTGAAAGATCAGTAGTTCGAACTCAGTGGCCACTCCGAGGGAGAAAGATGAGGCAGTCTGCTTTCGTAAAGATTCAGAGTCTCGGAAATGCTGTGGAGTACTTAGTTCCTCTCACTAGGAATCGGGCTTGACAATAGCAGTGGGAGTGGGCGGGTGATGCAAATGGTTTGTGTTTAGCTGTTAACTGAAAGGTTAGCCGTTCAAGTCCACCCAGAGGGACCTTCATAGAAAGGCCTGACAATTTCTGAAAACTCAGCCATGCAAATCCATCTGGAGCACAGTTCTGCTCTGATGCAGATGGGATTCCCATGAGCTGAGGTTGACCTGAAGGCAGCGGCTCAGGCTTTTGGTAGACATGAATGCATTCATGTCTCCTGTCCCCTGGCAGCCTGCAATTTAGTTCTGGCCACAGGAGGCCTCTGAGTCTGGCCCTGGGGAGTCCATAGGCCAGCTCTTGTTAGCAGGGGCCCAGCCACAACCGTGATGGCTCAGAGGTAGACTTCTTGCCTTCCATGTAGGAGATCTGGGTTCAATGTGTCCTGGCCAGCATGCCTCCTGGGCAGCCACCACATGTCTGTCAGTGGGGTTCGAACTAAGAAGCTGAGCAGGTTTCAGCAGTGCTGCTAGATGAAGACAAGAGTAGGAAGAAAGGTCTGACAATCAACTTCCAATAATCTGCCCATGAGAACCCTCTGGATCACAACGGTCCCATTCGCACCTACTCATGGGATGGCGCAGAGCCAAGCAGCGTTCCCTTGTGTTGTGCATGGAGTTGCCATGAGTCTGGGAGACCCCACTACAGCTAACAACACCGACTGCACCAGCCGCTGCCCCAGCCCAGCTGAGCCCAGCATTTGTCCTAGCTCAGCAGCCCAAAGGTGGGCTGCTGGCTCTCCTGGGAGGCTCTGGGAGAGCTGGCCTTACCTGTAGAAGGACCACTTCAGCAGGAACTGCCGGGCGGCCTTGGGGAAGCTGGGGCTGCCGGCGTGCTGTTTGAGGACCTGGGTGACCACGTTGTCCAGCCAGCTGGCCCACTGGTCCAGGGAGCTCTGCTGCTGGAGGGTCAGTTTGAAGTCTTGCTGTAGCTGCTGTACCACGCTCTCCTCACACTGGCACACCCACGAGGCTTGTTCCTGCGGCGGGAGGCAGCAGTCGGGATGGGGCACAGAGTCACAGTGTTGGTGAGCCAAGGACAGACAGACTGACACTGTGGTGCAGCCACAGATTTCATATGGCTCGTCTACCCAGAGTCTGTAACTCCCACCAAGCGATGTTGTTGCCCTGGTGGGTCTGGGTAAGAAATGGTGGGAGGAGGCAATTCTAGGGTGATAAGATCCAGTTGTGAGTGTTTGTGAACAGGGGTTGTGAGTGTAGAACCCTGACAAGTCTAGCATGGATACAAGCAGCCATCTCAGAAGCAGGAGGGGAGGATCTCATTCCCATCACAGAAGGACTGGCAGAGGAGCGTGTCCTTTGGACCCTGAGGTCCCTGCACACAGAATCTTCTCTACCCAGGGACAGAAGGTTGGACACCACAGGAGTTACAGAGGAACAGCAACAGAACCACGAGTCAGAGGATGAGACAGAGTGAGGGCTTCCTGGCCCATGGAGCAGGTGAAACAGGCGATCTTTGGGCAGGAGGCTCATTGGTGGAGTGGGGTGCCTCTGGGCATTGAATTGGGGAACAAGGTTTGCTGACCCCCAGAGCTAGGGCTGAATACCATTGGGCTGAAGCATATAGTGAAGTGGTGTGTCCTTTAGGCATTTATTAGCAGCCCTAATAGAACTTTCTAATAGGGCCAAGCAGGGCAGTGAGAGGCAGGCCTGATTGGAAGAACTGTGTTCGGAGCATCTCTGGTCCTGAATTGGAACCTGCTCACTTTCCTAACAAGCCGCAGCACTGTGAGATGCTGTCAGTGAATTATATCACACTGGGCAGTGAGGTGTATCACGCTGAGCCGAGACTAGAGAATCGTTGGAAGGATGGTTGGTATCTTCTTTTTGTACATGCAGATATGGACAGGGCACCTGCCCCGGTTCCTAAAAGACCTACGTTGAGTATTCAGGTGAGTGGAAAGCTCTTATTACACCAGGTCCTGTTGTGTTGTTTCTGTAAAAGTGGTCACTCTTGTAAACGTGTGTGTGTTTTGTTTTTGTCATGGGGGAAGTGGGGGCTCAAGGGTAGGAGTCTTTCCTTCCACTTGGGAGACGTGGGTTCAATTCCTGCCCAATGCACTTCACGTGCCGTCACCAGCCCCACCTGTCTGTACAGGCTAGGATGCTGAACAGCTTTCAGTGGCGCTTCTGGACTAAGAATACCAAAAAAGGCCTGGCAACTGACTTCTGAAAATCAGTCAGTCATGATCTGCAACCAAACATGGGGATTAAGCGGGACCCGGCAGCATTTCATCCCGTTGTGCTGTTAAGTCGGGGCTGACTCGACGACAGTTAATACCACCAACATATCACATACATGGAGTCCTGGGGTGGCACTGTGGGTTAATGCGCTGGACTGCAAAGTTGGCTTGAGCCACAAGGTCGGTGGCTCAAGCTCACTAGCTGCTCCTTGGAAACCCTATACAGGGTCGCTATGGGTCGAAACGGACTCAATGGCACTTAACAACAACAATAATATACATCCGTATATATTTAGAAGTCTTTAAAAAGTGCCATTCCTCTGAGTGTGTGTGTGTGTAAATGTGACCCTGAACCTGCGCATGTTCAGGGCCTGGCCCCATGCTAGGTGCTGGGCTTTGCTGGGGCCCAGCACTGTAGGTGTGGGTATTTCTAGAGCTCTGCTACTGGGGTTGTGCCTCAGTCCACTCCCTGGCTGGCCGTGGGGACCTGCGTTCCTAACAGTCACCTGTACATTGGCGAAGTCCACGCGGTTGAGGTCGCTGAGCATCTGGTTGATCTGGGATGTGTTCTGCAGCACGGCCCGGGCAGCCTGCGCCAGGTGGTTCAGCGATGTGTATCTGCGCAGAGTCTGAGCGAAAGCGCTGACCACGCCCACCTGCAGCAGACAAGGATGCCAGTGCGTCAGTGCCTTCCTTAGGGGCTGCACGGTGGGAGAGTGCAGGGAACAGACAGCAGGGAAGGGCATCCCCACCTTCCCGACATTCTCAAGGACCCACAGGGAAAGCAGGAGTGAAGGTTATAGGCCCACCGAGGCGACGTGCGGCCCTGGGGAGTTAAGACTCAGGACAGTAGCCTTTCTTGTCTCTGTTCCATCCGGGTTCCTGAGCTTTATCTCTCCACCGAAAACAAAGGATCAGATCCTTTGGGGTGTGGCCTGGAGGGTCAGTGATTTAGAAGACAACCTAGGTAGTTCTTAGGAGTGTTGGTGGCATAGTGGTTAAAGCACTCAGCTGGTGGGCAGTTTGAACTCACCAGCTACTCTGAGGGAGAGAGATGTGGCCGTGAGAAGTTCTACGGGGCAGTTACAATCTGTCCTGTAGGGTCAGTATGGGTCCAAATCCCCTTGAGGGCAGTGGGTGTTTTTGGTTTATTGAGCTCTGGTAGCGTAGTGGTTACGAGTCGGGCTGCCAACCTCAAGGTCAGCAGTTCAAAACTACCAGTGGTTCCACAGGAGAAAGATGAGGCTTTCTGCTCCTGTAAAGACTTACAGCCTCAGAAACCCTGTGCAGGGTCGCTATGAGTCGGAACAGACTCCACGGTACTTAACAACAACAACAATGCATATGAAAGCTGGCATATCCCTGGCCTAACAGTTCATTTCCAACTTATGGGGTAGACCCGCCACTTGGGGTCCCTGGGTGGTGCAAATGGCTAACTCCCTCGGCAGCTAACAAGTAGGCTGGAGGCTCAGGTCCACCCAGAGGTGCCTGGGAAGGAAGGCTTGACAAACTACTTCCTAAAAATCAGCCATGACAAACCCTACGGAGCACAGCTCTACTCTAACGCACATGGAGACATTGTGAGCCAGAGGTGACTTGAAAGCAACTGGTCTGGACCCAGAACTTGGAGAATCACTGGCCCGAACAGATCAATTCAAAATGGTAAGTGGGGCAGACCGGGGGCTCCGAGTCTGGCCCTCAACTACACACAGCAACTTCTCAACAAATGCTGGCGGAATGGAGGCTGATTTTCCCATGAGGCACAGCTCCAGGTTGGAATGCTCTTTGTGACCAAGACTAGCAATAATAAAGAGAAGAGCAAAGAGATTCAGTCTCCCGTCCTGTCTTGTCTGCGCTCAGCTGACGTCTGTTGCCCCACCCTGCGAGCATCTGCTCCTCATCATTCCTGGAAGGAGCCAGGGCACAGGAGAAGATGCTGTCTCTGGGAGCAGAGGGAGAGGTCTGCCTCGCTCGAGAGCACAAACCCACCAGAGCCCAGCAGTGAGCAGCATGGGCCCAGCTCCCGGCCCACAGCTCTCCCACTCTGGGACCAGTATTAGTCTGGGAGTCCAGCTGCCACCCCTGACCAGTTACCTTGGTCTGGATGACCTGTTGGGGAAAGTCACTCATGGCATTTGTCAACCAGCCCTCCAAGCTCTTGGCAAAATTACGGATGGCCTGTGTCAGGGTACCTGAAAGAGGCAAACCATGAAATTAACCGGGGCAAGGCACTGCCCGACCCACCCAGATCAGGATTAAGGGTGACAGAGGCAAATGCAATGTTTCCCATCTGTGAGAAACAACACAGAGGGAAAAGGACAGGCTGCTTAGCCCCATAGCCCCAGGGACAACTGAGAACATAGCACATGGTGTAGACCTGGCATTGAGTAGGAATCAGGGATCTCCCTCCATCCATCCACTCATCCATCCAATCATCAATCTATTTAACCCTCCATCCACCTTTGTTTCCAAATCCACCCATCTACCCATCCCCCCATTCATTCACCTATCAATTGATCAATCCATCTATTCATTCATCCATCCATCTAACACCCATCCACCTATCCATTCACCCATCCCACCCTCCCTCCATCCAACTACCTGTCTACCCACCCATTCATCTATCCATTCATTCACTCACCTATCCATCCATCCATCCATCCATCCATCCATCCATCCATCCATCCATTCATCCACCCATCTAACACCCATTCACCTATCCATTCACCCATCCCACCCTCCCTCCATCCATCCACTTGTCCACCCACCCATTCATCTATCCATTCATTCACTCACCTATCCATTCACCCACCTATCCAACCACCCGTCTATCCATCCATCCATCCATCCAGCTATGCATTCACCCACCCCATCCATCCATCCCTGCCTCCCTCCATTCACCTATCCACCTACCCACCTATCTATCCATTCACCCACCTACCCAGCTACCCACCTATCCATCCATCCATCTATCCATTCACCCACCCCATCCATCCCACCCTCCATTCATCCACCTATTCACCCACCCACCCATCTATCCATTCACCCACCCATCTATCCATTCACCCACCCATCTATCCATCCATCCATCCACTTACCTACCTATCTAGCTAAGGGTGATTCTACCCTCTAGAGGTTTGGGGACACTTATGGGTGTCATGACTCAGGGAGGGGTGCTATTGGCATCAAGTGGGTTAATGCCAGGGATGCTGCTCGACACCCTGCAGCTAAAGCACAGACCCCAGCAGAGAAGGTTCCAGGCTCCAGGCTCCAGGCCAGCAGGCGAGACAAAGGCTCCCTGATACGGACGTACATGCTTCTATATAAATAGTCTACTAACTGCCAAATTTAGTTTGAGAAGGTTTATCATAAGAAATAAATAACCAGACTGCTAAAAAAGAGAGAGAAGAAATCATAGAAATGCAGAAGGAAATATACCACAAATTAAAACCTTAATATAGAGTCGAAGTGAGCATTAAATGAGATGGAACTGTCTTCTAGCAACAAGGTCAAAAGGGATTTAGTTTGGCTATTTCTCATCTTCTGGCAAAAAGCAGAAACCTAATGCCTGCAGAAGGACCTATTGTGGCGCTGTAGGATCAGCACTTAACAGCTATTCAAACCTTCTACAGGGCCGGTGTGAGTAGAAACTGACTCCACGGCACTTGGCACTAACAAGCCGTACACAGTTTTACAGCTCAATTGCTAGGCACAACCTGCCCCAGGCCCTTCATTGCTCAGAGGCAGTTCTGTGCACAAGCAGCCCAGACTTCCCTTTGGGACACTGCTCTATCCTGAGGGTGACCATGACCCCATGGGAAGACGGTGAAGGAAGAGTCTACCTCCAGAATGTCCCTGGGGGCAGGTATTCCCCGTTGCATCATGGGAGGAGTCACCTGATAGCAACCTTCCCCTTGATCTTTGTTGGGGCCAGTACTAGGTAAGAGAAAACCTCTTTCTGGACCTGGCGGAGTGGTAACTCTATACTCCTCATCTGAGAAATCGGTGGGTTAAGAGTAGCTGCGGAGTCCATGTGTGATGCAAAGAATCTTAACGCGGCTAGGCTGCGAAGGGAAAGGCTGGAGGTGCAAACCCATCCCGAGGTGGCTTCAAACAAAGGCCTGATGATCTACTTCTGAAAACTCAGCCACCGGAAACCCTGTGGCATCCAGTTCTGCCCTGACACACGTGGGGTGGCCGCGAGTTGGAATCAAAACACTGGCAACTGGTGAGAAGGTCGCTGCGGACATGCAGGTTTGACAAGAGACCGAGGGGAGCGGTATGGTTGGGGGCGTCCCGTGAGCGCGTTGGGGGCGGCTCTTACTGGGCACAGGCCGAAGGACGTCGGGGATGAGTGTCTCCACCAGCGCCTGGTACAGGATGTGGTCACAGCTCCGCATCCACTTCAGGATGGGGTCATATTTGCACAGAGAAACGAGCTTGTCCTTTGGGATGATGGCACCTTCCTGTTCTTCTTCACTGTGGGAATCCAGGAGCACACACCTGCTGAGTCCTGGGTAGAGGCTTTCTGGGGGTGGGCCCTGGCTGGATGCTCGGCCGCACTCCATGAGCCCTGGCCCCGCCCCATGTGCCCTGGCCCCGCCCCATCACCCCGCTTCAGGGCGAAGTCAGGAGCCAGTGTTTCCCCACGCGTGTCCAGGGCTGTTCTTGCCCTGCCTTGACCCACGGCTTGGGTGTGAATTCCGGCTCATGGTGCTCCAAACAGCCTCATCTTTCATTCTACTGTGGAGCAGCTGGGGGGTTTGAACTGCCCACCTTGCACTTAGCAGTGGGGGCGCTTAACCTACTGTGCCACCACCTCGATTTTGGAGTGCAGTGTGGTCACCAATGAAAACCCCTCATGTGAAAACAAGATCTGATTTGAAGAGGGGTGAATGGGCAGGCAAAATGAATGAATTATAATGACAAGAGTATATTTATATTTATATATAATTATATATAATTGTGTTTATATTATATTTAATTATGTCAGATTCAATGATGCAAAAGCTGATCCTTGTATATAAGGAACTCTGGTGACGCAGCATTTCAGTGCTCAGGCCATAGGAGAAGCACCTGACCCCCTGATCCTAAAGGTGGCAGGCAGCCTAGGAGACCTTGTGGGACAGATGTACTGTGTCCCAGAGGCTCATGAGGAGGTGGGAATTATCTGACGGCACCTAACAACTCAACAAATGTATGTACAGTTTTATGCTTTTTATGAGGAATACACATAATATTCCGAGTCCTGGTGTGGTGCTGTAGGATATCACTAGACTGCTAACTGCAAGATCAGTGGTTCAAACCCACCCGTGGCTCCTTGGAAGCCCTATACAGGGTTCCTATGTGTCAGAACTGACTCGACAGCAGTTAACAGCATATATAACATTATAATTTATAACTATATATTAATGTATATTTTATATATTATATATACTTAAAAAAACAGACCACCCCCCCACAGACCTCCCCCACACACACACACACAAATGAGACCCATAGCTGTAGAGTTGATTCTGACCCCAAGTGATACTACAGGACGGATCAGAACTGCCTCTATCTTTCTGGGAGGAAACTGCCACGTCTTTCTCCCGCAGAGTGTTCGGTGGGTTCATAACCTTCCAGGTAGCAGCTGAGCACTGCAACTGTTGTGCCACCAGAGCCCCTCAATACTCTAGGAAGGTGAGTCCCAAAGTATGGTGACAAGATCATGGCACCTTTATTAACCAAAATACCAAAATGTGAAGCTATTGTTTCTCGACTTTTCCTCCATTTAGGTCTCCACACTTCTGAAGGGGGAGTTTCCATCACAGCCTCAGATGCATGTGAAAGCTGGACGGTGAATAAGGAAGATTGTAGAAGGATGAATGCACCTGAGCTATGGTGTTGGAGGAGAATATTAAAAGTACCATGGACTGCTAAAAGAACAAACAATCCGTGTTGAAAGAAGTACAGTCAGAATGCTTCTTAGAAGCCAGGATGGCCAGACTTTGTCTCTCATACTTTGGACACATTATCAGGAAGGAGCAGTCCCTGGAGAAGGATATCATGTTTAGTAAAGTGGAGGGCTGGAGAAAAAGAGGAAGACCCCCAATGAGATGGGTTGGTACGGTGGCGACAACATTGGATTCAAGAGTAGGAATGATTGGGAGGTTGGCCCAGAACTGGGCAGTGTTTTGTTTTGTTGTGCATAGATAGGGTCGCTATGAGACAGTACTGACTCGATGGCACCTAACCACAACAGTGTGGTGCTATAGGATAAGCACTGGACTGCTAACCAAAAGGTTGGTGGTTCAAACTCACCAGTTACTCCTCGAAAACCCTGTACAAGGTCACTATGAGTTGGAACTGACTTGATGGTACTACTAACCAATGCGTCCCTGAAGAACTGTGCACTCTTCAATATACGCCACGTCAAAACAGCAGTTCTGATGCCCACCAGGGACTCAAAGCAGGTTCCCTTTTAACGTTCTTTTTGGAGGAACAAATAGAAGCTTGAAGGGGCAAGATTCTGGCTGGGGGTGGGTGGGGTGGTGAACAGAGTAAGGTTTCCTAATGAAATTCTTTTACGACAGCCCTGGCTACCCTCAAAGCATGAACAGGTGCATTGTCATGATGGGGAGAGAAAAAAATTCCTTGGTGCAACTTTCCTGGCCTTTTCCTCACCAATGTTTTCAGTTTTATTAAAAGTCCTCTCTAATAAGCCCCGGCGATCATCCTGTGTCCTTTGAGAAAAATCTAACAAGATGACCCCTGAGAGTTCCTAAAATCAGTTGCCAGAACCTTCTGAGTTGGCCTTTCTGCCTTGATTGTAACTGGTCCTGCAGTTTCTTGCGCAAAAGGCACTGTTTTGATTGGACTTTTTTTGAAGGCCCCCTAATGCGACTAAGACAGGTGTCTTATTGAGAGAACTCGTCTGCAGCCATCTACTGATCACAGAGATGTGTTTAAATGTGTTTTGTTTGGAGGAAACCCATGTATGGATGAACTGGAACCCTACAAACAACACTTTTTAACTTACTATGGTTTAGTGACACTTATCTAATGTCTCTTCTAGCCATAGTCTGTAACTCCCACCATACAACGTTTCTGCCCTGTTGGGTCTGAGTAAGGGAAGGTGGGAGAAGATACTGATAGGATGATAACATGATTCAGCTGTAGATGTTAGCAGATGAAAACTTGGAACTCTAACATGAGTCTAAAATGAACCATCTAAGAAGCTTCTTATTTCACAACCATCAAATAAGAAGAGCCAGGAATAGAGCGTATCTTTTGGACTGAGATCCCTGTGTCTCGAACCTCCTCCATCCAGGGACAGAAAGTTGTGATACCAAAGTGTCAGAGGAGTAGCAGTGGCAGAACCAAGAATCAGAGCACGAGACAGAGCAGTGGGCTTCCCGGTCCACAAAGCAAGTCAAGCTCAGTGCTGGCTTGTAGACTGCGGTGCCTGTAGGCACTTAAGTTGGGGAGCTAGGTTTGTGGACCCACGGAGTCAGAGCTGAATGCCTTCAGGCTGAAAGTTACAGTGTACTGGAGTGTCCTGTGGGCATTTATCAGCAGCTGACTGGAACAACTGTGCTCTGAGCCTTTTTCTGATCTGGTATGTAACCTGTTAGCTTCCCTAACAAACCTGGTAACTGATACTGTACCTGAGTTCTTCTGTGTGGCCATGGCAATGGATTATCGAATCCCACTGAGGAGTAGTGAGGGTTATGGGATGAGTGGTTGGTGCCATGTTTTTGCCCTTACCCTCATATACAGCATACGGACATGTAATATGTGTACAGTAATTACAATATGTAAGGAGCTCTGGTAGTTCGAGCTGTGAACCTCAAGGTCAGCAATTTGAAACTACCAGCTGGTCCACAGGAGAAAGATGAGGCTTTCTGCTCCCGTAAAGATTTACAGCCTCGGAAACCTTGTACAGGGTCGCTGTGGGTCGGAACCGACTCCACGGTACATAACCACCACCACCACCACCACCATAAGATTACACATCATAGGAGGGCATTTGAACACTAGTTCTTAAAAGTTCACACCTTTGTTTGAGAGTGTCAGCCAGCTGGCGGCTGGCTCTAGGGACTCTGTGAAACCCTGAAGCGGCCTGGGTGGGCATGTCTGGGGGTCCCAGGCAGCACGGAGGGGACTTACCTGGCAGGTATGGGGGTGGGACTGTCGCCAGAGGTGGGTCTGGTGCTCCAGAAGGAGAACCAGAGCTTCTCCACGTAGTGGAATTGCAGGTTCATCACCACGTCCAGTGTGGCCTGCAGAGAGAGACACTGCTAGCACCATCCTGGCTGCACGCATCTGCCCGTGGGCGGCCGAAATCCACGGAGAGCAGATGGGACACAGAACTGACCTGAAGGAGCCTCGCCAAGAGAGGTCAGAGGCCTGAGGGGTGGCCATGGGTCCCCTGTCTGTGGGTGACAGCTTCCCACCCACCAGGCAAGACCCCCCCCGCCTCACCTCGCAGTGCCGTCTGTAGGCCAGCTGCAGGGTTTTGACGTCTCGCAGTGTGAGGTCCCCCTGCAGCAGCACACCGCCCAGGTCCGGGGCTGGGAACTCGGGGAAGACGTGGGAGACGTCTAGGAGGAGGGACAGAGAGTTAGACACCGAGCCCTGGACACGAATAGTGAGCTGGGGCCAGTGTGGACAGGACACATTTCTACTGGGGACGCAGGTGGTGGGCTTCGGTCTGAAATGGGGATCTGCTCGCCACCTCCCAGAGATGTTAAAGATACTGACAGATGGCGTAGCACACAGTGTGTGTCCCCCAGCCATCTGCAGTGGGAGCCACCTCCAGGCCTGGTGTCTCCCGTGGGAGACCCTGCACGCATGTGTGTCTGTGCACGTGCGCTGGGCCTGCACTCAACAAAGACATGGAAAGCAGGGAGGCTGCCCCGTTTCTCCGGTCCATGTGCTCCAATATGAGGGCAGAGGGCCTTTGCAGGGGAAGGAGGGGGGTGCAGGTGTTACAGCGCTTGTCCTGCAAGCATATGGGACCCCCACAGGTGCTCAGTCAGACGCACGGCACCCAGGGACCATGGCAAGGCTGCCTCCTACACTGGGCAGAAAAGACTGATTTTTAGGGAGTGGTGTGGCACTGTAGGATAAGCACTGGACCTCAAGGTTGGTTTGAACCACAAGGTCGGCAGTTCAAACTCCCCAGGCACTCCTCGGAAACCCTGTACAAGGTCACTTATGCAATCACCCTATACAGTCACCCTTAAGGAGTCCCTGGGTGATGCAAAAGGTCAATGCTTGACTGTTAGCCAAAAGGTTGGAGATTCAACTCCGCCTGGAATGCGTCGGAAGGAAGGCCTGGAGATCGACGCTGAAAACTCAAGTCAGTTTGACTCCTAGCACCCGCCCATGTGACAGAGTAGCACTTCCCTAGACAGTTTCCTAGCCTGTGATCTTTATGGATGCTGATTGCCAGCCCTTTTCCCCACAGAACCGGTGGATAGGTTTGAACTGCCAATAATAGAGTGCTCCTTTATAGCCTACTAAATCTGCAGCATAAGACCTCTTTAAAGTGTTCAAGAGCAAAGGTGTCAGTTTGAGGACTAAGATGCACCTGACCCAAGCCAGGGTATTTTCAATAGCCTCAAATTCATGTGAAAGTTGGACAATGAATAAGGGAGACCAAAGAAGAATTGATGCATTTGAGTTACGGTGTTAGAGGAGAATCCTGAAAGTGCCACCGACTGCCAAAAGAACCAATAGATCTTGGATGAAGTACAGCCAGAATGGTCCTTGTAAGCCAGGATGGC